ATTTTTACCTACATACTTAATATAACTTCAGTGTTGCAACTAGGGTTGCCACCCGGTAGTACTTTAGTATAAAGTATTGTACGTTATTTAAGGTAATTTTATTGTACTCTATACTTTATAAGAATAATAAAGTACACGAACATACTTTATTTCTGCAAACTTCATTTCTATTAAAGTCGTAAGTATTTTTCGGTAAACTTATTCATTACTTATTATTTGTCGATTCGATATCGATATTTATCGATTTATATTGAATCGATTTCGCCACTCGCCACTTAGACGATTTCTAGTAAAGATGCAATTGTTTAGTATTTCAATGCAATTGTTTAGTAAAGATAGACTAATTTAATACAATCAGCAAAAAGCAATATAAAATATATTTTTAAATATATTTTACTAACTAAGAAATTGTACTTTAGTTTTGTACTGTGTACTTTTTTTCTTACCTATAATCGTCAATGTACTTTAAATACCAAAATTAAAGGTGGCAACCATTGTTGCAACAAACAGAAACCATATTTACCCTAGCTCCGTATCTCAACAACAGTGCAACAATCTCAGCGCTGGGCTCCGGGTTGCTGGCGAGGTACTCCGCGAGCGCTGGCCGCAGCTGTGTGGCGTCTTCATCATTGTACACCTTCAGGTTTGGATCAGCACCGCTTTCTAGAAGAATCTGAAATTGTAAACATTTTCGTTGAAATCACCTTTATTGGATAAGCCGGTAAATCAGCTGACGGATCATATGATGGTCAACAATAGGCGTGGCATGGACACCTGGAGCACCAGAGGCGTAACAAGTATGTTACCGGCATTTTGGGAATTGAGACATTCAATTCATTCATTCATTCAATCATTCATTCATTCATTCACTGAGACAGACTTGTGTGACATTCTATAATATAATTGACAATTACTTTTTTACAGTAAATATCTAATTTGACATTAATTTTTGACTTCAGTGGTATGAATAATTATAATTTATTTGACATTATTGTATTCTAACAACATTACAAATAATTCAATTGAATGGACCTAATTTTATTATGTAATTATTTTCATAACATATCTTTGCATGCCAAGTTAAGGCAAAATATGGAGAAACTATAAACTTTGTTAACACCTATATATTATGTACCCATGTTTGCAAATGATTAATATGAATATGAGAATTTGAGGATCGTGGTGGATTCGGGATGGGGGTGATACGTCTACTGCTGGATTCTGGACCTCCTCTACAAAAGAGGGGTTTCCAATAATCTCCATGCATGTCAGGCGGGTTGGAGATCGCAGTATAAAAGGTTCAGGTTTATTATGTGCAGTCCCTTTGCTGGGTTCTTACGGTAGCCACGGGCAGTCGGAGCTGCGGAAGGCCTAACGCGGTACCGGGGCTCCGGCTCGAAGAGCAGAATTAAGAAAATGGTGGTTTTTAGTCAGTAAGAGTCTGACACTCCCTAACCCCAGGCGGGAGAAGTCATTGGATCATTTTCCCCCTCAAAAAAAAAGCGATGGGAAATAGGAGTCGTAAAATTCCTGACGACAGCTTCATTAGTCGAGCAAGGAGTATCTATCGGGTTAAATTCCCGGGTCGGGCAACGTATTGCTGGTTCAGGTTTATTTATGACTAGCTTTTACCCGTGGCTTCGCTCGCGTCACAAATGGATAAAAAGCCAATGTGACATACACCAATATACACAGCGCCATCTATACCAATACTTTTGTTTTCCCTCGGGAATATTAAATTTTTCCAGGACCCTATTATTTAATCCGGACTTCAAAGCAATCGGTTTAGTAGTTACGGCGTGAAAGCGGAACAAACAAACAAACTCACTTTCCGATTTATAATATTAGTAAGGATTTTTCGAAAATTTCTCAGTAATAGCGCGAAGTTTGTGCTCGGTAAATCTTTAGCGGTAGGTTCACCTCCTATTACATGGGACACATAACATAAACGGACAACATAGGTAAATATGGAAATAAACAGTAGCTACTTACTTGTACAATTTCCTTCCTATTCGTAATATTGTCGGAGCAGGCAACGTGCAGGGGAGATCCGATCACCGAACTGGATGCGTTCACTTGTGCACCTGAAAATTACAAAATTTAACATAGTGAACTCTATATTATTTTATCCCCGTCCAAAGGGGTAGGCAAAGGTGCATATTACGGCACTTACTGCCACTGTACAATGTAACACCCACTGTTTACTATTTATGTTATAGGGGATGAGTCTATTGCCATATAGGTACTGGGCATGTTTCCACAATCTGTGCTACAGTTGAGATTTTTTTAAAAAAAACCTAATACTTTACCCGACCCGAGATTTGAACCCGACCCCTTGCCCGACATTCGCACTCGCGACCACTCGGCCAGCGACTCTATGTACTCTATTCTACCAATAGTAGTTGAGGAAAAAACATGACATTGTTTGGTCATCAAGATTAAGAGTACCAAATATCAGATCGATCTGTCGTCAGGAAGGGGGTATAATAGGGATGATGACAGGGTATGAAATTTAAAAATCTAATTAGTCCGTAAGTTAGGTAATGAAAAAATATTAGACACGTATTTTTTTATTTTGTCGTATATAGAAACGATACTTAGATAAAACGAATCAAAGTTTAGGAGTGGGGGCTAAAACGTCATTTCTACGAATAAAATGTATATAGAAGTGACGTCACGCGACATTTCAAATCAATATATCGTCGAAAGTATTCGTTTCTGTTAGAAAATAAAAAACACGTGTCTAATGGTTTCAAATAATCTTCCAGACGTACATTAAAATAAAAATTAGGCATCTACCCTATTCCAATTAGTTACTAGAGACTCAAAAAAACAAACGGGGCAAGCTCATTGAAACCGTTTGAAAATAGTTAAATATTTTTGTCTATCTTACCAGCAGCTAACAGCATCTGCAACATGGCGACGTCTCCTTTCAAGATGGCGAGGTCCAATGGACTGGGCTTGCTGAATTCATTACACTCGTAGTTCACACGCGCTCCCTGCTTTATCATCAGATTCACTACTTCAGGGTTACCTAGAAGAAGGAAGAATGTAATAAATAAATAAAATAAATAAATAAAATTTTTATTCATAATAACACTGGTCAACATAGGTACAAAATTAATTCTTAATTAAGCGACAAGATCTTAAAAATATTATGCCTATACTAGGAATATTCCTGTGTCACAGGCGATAGTAGCTCTAAAAATATGTTAATGTAAGATAACTTATTTATAGTATATTTAAAATATTTAACACAATTTGCAGAAGTAAGGTTGGATTTTTTAATATACTACACTACATACATACACATAATATCACGCTTTTTATTCCCTGGAGGAGAATAAAAAGTTGAACCTACATAATACATTAATATAAAATTAAATAAATATCGTTAGCTATATTCATATATAAACTAGATAATAATGTGGTTGAAGTAAGATCTTATAAGAATAGGCACTTTTTATATCCCGGGGATTCTTAGCAGCTCTTGTCCCGCCGTTACCATAGCCGCCGAATGGACGCTTACTCTTGAATCCAATTCCGATCGATCGACATTGACATTGTGATATTTCGTACTCTTGATAACACTAGCGCCCATTGCATCCGTATTGCGTGGATATTGAATGAACTAAATGGTATTGAGTTTGGCTTTATATTCCGTATTCTGAATGCTACTTTAACAGGTACGATTGTGGTTGTATAGTTTTGACATTGAATAATTATTGAGATTTTATTGAATTGAAATTGCATTGACATTGAGATTGGTTTCAAGAGTAAGCACCTTGATCAGGAATAACGGTGCGACCGGGAACTAGGGGCCGTTTTGCTGTCAGTCGTGCCAAAAAAGGTAATGCCCATAATCACCACTCTGGGCAGGCGGGTCGGTGATCGCAGGGCACTACTGGGTATGTTATAAATTATCAGTAGTGGTGCCACTACGTGACTACGTGGAGTCTGGAATTGTGCCCCGTATATGGCAATAGACTCACCCCCTATTACATGGGACTCATAACATAAATAGTGAAAAGTGGGTGTTACATTGTACAGTGGCATAATGTACACCTCTGCCTATCCCTTCGGGGATGGGGGGCGTAATGTTATGTTATGTAATACATATGTATACTTACCACTTAGTACGGCATAATGCATGACAGTCCTGTAGTCATTCCTGGCGTCAGCCATCGCGTTCACATCCGCTCCGAAACTGATGAGCAGGAGAACAGCATCCAGACCCTGGAAATAGAAGTTAGAATAAGTTTTCAATATAATTTTAAGCATTACAATGTTGAAAGCTGTCTAATGACAGAGTAGAGTACATTTGTAACGATTAATGTTATATATATGTAGGATCAGGGTCCGACATTATTTGAAAATAAAACAAAGAGCTTCACACAATCACTTAGTTTATTTCGATTAAATGAACTTACTTTCACATTTTTTAATTATAATAATTGAATAAATCAGCACTGATTATATAAAGGAAACACTCAAATAAAACCAACAATAAAATTACTCAGCGATTGCGTAACGTGTGAACTGGGCAACGATCGACGAACGACTGACTCGAGCTTGCGCTTGCGCTGCTTTATATATCACTCGGTGGTGGGGTTGAAGTGACGTCGGTCAGTTGTTTGTTCACTGCTCGCCCATTACATTCGCAGTTTACAAAATAATGACGGCGGCGCCGACATAT